TAGTACTACTTTTAGTCTAACTTATGAAATCAAATAACGATTATGCCGGTAAGTTGTCCATATGAGTCGATTTCCAATTGCATCTGTATTAGTAGGCTAACTGAAGGAACAAAAGTATTACCGTGGAGAAGAATTCCAACTAGTGTTCCAGTTAGTTTGATACGGTTTATTTAGTTAAGGGGAGATTTTCTCAACCCCATGTTTACCTGACCGTGATAGAATTTAGTAATACTACTAATACACATGAATGGTTATCAAAACAAAATTTAAATACGTGAGTGATAATTATGTGAATTTTGGACAGATAGCTAGAAACAAATCGTTAAACATGAGTGTATTCGTAAGAGACATGCTCTAGACTCAATGTTCTGATCTGCGGCAGACTATTTATTTATATCTATACTTGCCGGCTGATTGAGTATACAAGTTAGTTGAAAGTATGCAGTTTATCATAAGGCGGAATACGATTTAATTAAGATATAGTGGTTATACGTTATTGAAATTAGTTAAACCTATGTGTCATATTACTAAGTGATGTGGTGCTGCAAGGTGTATTTGGCTAAATAATTTTTTACAAGATGATTAATAGTGAGTGATGCTCATGTGATTATCAGGGAGAACATAAGTTGTAACCAAGGGGAGTACACTCCCAACTCATGCCTATGATAATAGCTTGAACCTTAGTCAGTGTTGGGGTAAATTCGACATTAATGTTTTCAGTTTGCAGGAGATTTGCTCGACTGCTTATACTGATTATTCGCATGCATGATTGTGTCGCTAAACCATCAATTAGACTGACAAGGTTTTGATATTTACTGAATGAGCAACTGATAGAGAAACATACTGTAATCATCTGTAGTGAATGAAGAAAAACAACACTAGTGATAATTATAAGTCAATCTGCTGACCGATTTTGTTAATAGTTTCATTAATTTTATCAATCATATTACGAGATTGTCAAGTCATGACAATGCTTTATGAAGATATCCTGAAACTATTATGTTTAATTAGTTATAGTGTTGATTGAAGATTGGCCAGTGGGATAAAAAGGCATTGTTGCTTTAGGTGATTCGAAATCATCAGAAATTTGTAACGTTAAAGAATCCGAGACGCCTAATTTAATTATAAATTTTAATTCAGAAAGATTCGTTTAGTGTTAATTCTAGTAGGCTACGGAGTTTTGATTTTAAACGTTTGTTTAGCCAACAGCTACTTAGGGATTTAGTTATTTTACTAGTGCAGTTGATAGTACCTAAATTTTTAATCTTATTATCTAAACTATGTTCGCATTTTAGGCTGCTAATATGATAAACCAATCCATAAATCCAAATACGATTAGCAACAATGACTATGATGGGTTTATTAATAAATGTTAGAGGCGATCCAGATGATTTCTGGATTCAAAAGACATGAAGATATAGTAAAACGTATATACGGGCCAGGTTAACATGCAGGTTGTTGACGTATATGACAATTTAAAAATAATGAACATGACCAGACAAGTAATTTTAAAGTTTAGACTGCTTGTGAAACTTCAGGCAGGAATATGATGCGTTATAAACATTCTATAAGAAGTTACTGCATTTAGCCTAAAGATAATTATAAATATGTGGCAAACACAACTGGAAAACATATACATGTTAAGTACAGAAAAATCATCCAGTAAAATAGTTGAACTCGCCTGGATTATTTTTGAAAATTAGATTATTCAGTGGACGACATATATAACGCCATTCGTGAGGAGTAATGATCCAAAAGTATCAACAATAAAACATGCAGTATGGCAATTAATCCCAGGGTGCTTGATGCTGTTGCCACTCGCTCAGATCAAAACAATCGAATGAATCCAGATAATTGTGTCAGCCATTGAACGAGCCATCGTATGTTTTTAGAGAAGTGTCATCCTTGTTGTTTGGCAATGGAACTCGAGAATATGAAATTAGGCAGGCAGTGGTCGGAAGAAAAGGATAGTGCATAGTTTAAAACAGGATGAGGTGTTAAGCGAAGAAACACTAAGAATTAGATCCAGATAACTATTCAATCCTTGATTGCATTGTTAGCCAATGTATATTTACGCTATTTACAGGTCATATTTGCTAGAGCTTGATGTTCAAACAAGTTTATGTCGCTGAAGCAGTTAAATGCTATTAAAGCTTGTTAACGAACCATCAAAGCTAATTAGTTGATATAGATGATCAACTTTTATTATCGATTGAGCTAGTAAGTTATGTGAACTAATAGATATAACATTACGATAATATATGTGACCATTAATCAAAGGACTATTAGAATACTGGGTTTACAAAAATAAAAACCGATTGAGAAGGTTAAGGTGTTAGCAATAAAAGGTTGCGTTTCTTTAGTTGGGCTCACCAATGTAGAACTATGGTCTACTGTGATATTAATACTGCTCTAATAATAGACCTAATCCTAAATCTGTAGATTTATCATGATATGACTGCCTAATCTATAAGATCCTACGTGGAAGTCACACCATCGACTACACCAACTCACTGTATCGTATCAATTACCAATACATGATATAGAACAAGGTTAGGCTAGAGAAAGAACAATATATTTAATATGAATAGAAGATATAAGGTAACATTACGCAGAGACCACGCCTGCATGGCCGAGCCATGCCGTTCGATCAACTATAGTCTATTCAATTCCTTATTCGCGCCTTCTCCATCGTTAGGTATTTCTTCGCGTTAAATATTGAATACCTATTTTCCGAGTAATCTCGTATTCAGCTTTGAGGATAGTGTGGTTATGGTCCAATGCCACTACAGATTCATCATACATTTCTGGGAGTTCAAAAACATGCTGACTCAACAAGTGGCGAGTCTAGCCAAGACGGACGGGGTCCTAGATTCCGGCTAATGAAGATAACCTCCCCAACCCTCAGTATGGTGACTACTACTCTCGTAAAATTTCGTGCCAACAGACTCCGGTTGGCTACTCAGTGCCGGGTCCCAGCACAAAAGCGAATTGGAGCTGATCACTTTACTTGTGGACTGTTAAGACTATGAAAAAAAACGTAGAAAAGATGGGGGCTACCAACTCGGAAAACCGTCTGTAGGTAGGTTAACTGTCTATTCAAAGATGAACAGTACGGGGAACCTCACGCGTTTCAAAAAGAAAGCATAAACTGCTTGTACATGAACGCTGCGAGTTTACGGAACAAAAGGGCTGTGCTGCCTGAACGCAGTAGTGTTAATAATACTCATCTGATAGAAGAATCTGAAACATGGAGATCTTCTCAAATTACGGACCAAGAGCTGGCAATACCAGGGATGTCTTTGTTTCTCAACGACAGAAAAGCAGGGGTGGGGGCGCAGGAACCTTGTACCTGAGATTTTGCATGGAAGTACATCAAGTACATAACCAAAGGTTTTTCAACCTTGATGAATCGGTATGGTGCTCAGTAAGATTGTCTAACATTTCAAGGCGACTAGTTAGGATCATCTACTGGAAGCCTACTGCTTATATTGAATTTGATAATCGTATACTAGAGGGATTATCCCACTATATTCTTCTCGGAAACATTCACATCCTGATTCTTGGTGGCTTCAATCTTTCTAAATCGAACTTCGCAGAACATACGTACATTGGAGGTGACAGCCCTACTGAAGCTCCGTTCTTTAACGTCATTTAAGATTTGTGATTATTACAAAATGTGAAGTTAGCAACTTAGTAGAGAAACGGTTATATACCGTCAGTCTCAGACTGCATATTTACAAACGGAGAATTCCTTAGTGATAACCTCTCGATCGACATTTTAAGGTTATGGTTAACTTCAATTTCAGGATACGGACTGTCTCAGTGAGGTACCCCAGGGCTAATTACTAGGACCTGTTCTTTTCTCAATTTATGTAGACGGTCTTCCACAACATGTGTCGTCGGATTTATTACTTTCTTCTGATGATGTGAATCTCTGGAGGGGAGTGTGAAACTAAGAGGGTAAACTGGCACTACGGGATGATCTGACTCGACTTCAAAGTTGGGTAGATAACAACGGACTCACCTTTAACACTTCAAAGTGCAAAGTAGTCCGAGTAATATTGTAGGCTACGAATATAACTTAGTTAACTCCAGTCTAGAGGTATCCCAAGTTGAAAAAGATTTAGGAGTATTGATATTCTGTGGTCTGAATTCTTACGCTAACTGTGACAAAAATGCTTTTTGAACAAACCTAGCACTGGTAACGTAAAAGGCTTTCCACATAATCTTCAGAGGTTTTATACGACTCTGTTTAGAGTATGGAAACATAGTATTCCTTTCAGAAGGATGTGGACACTGTCATGTATCTAACGGTGAACCAAGAAATCAATCCGGGGACTCAAATTCGAGTCCTATGAGGAGCGCCTTCAGTCACTGAACCTTTTCCCATCAGAGTACAGGCGTCTTAGAGGTAACTTTTTAATGACTTACAGCATCAGTAATACTTCACGGCATCTACTTAAACATCAATCTAAGCCTAGTCCCAACACAATCCTTAGGAGTAGCACCCCGAAACTGGAGACCCAACACAACAGAATGTACTGTAGACACGCCTTCTACTTCTTAAGAATAATCAAACTCTGTAATTCGCTGCAGTCTGAGTTGGTCGTATCGACTTCCCAGGAATAATCTAGGAGAAAACATATTCTTAAGGATTAAGAACAGTCACTACGATTTACTAGTTCCTTTTTCCTCTTTTGTCGTTAGTATACCATGGTTCTTATTTGTAGGCATCAGTGAACAACTGCTACTAGATACGAAAATCAATCAAGTGAAAGTCTATTCCGTCCGAACCATTTGTACCATTTGAAGACAGCAACTGCATTGATTTCAGATTCAGATTCAGATTTGTGTAGTAAGGATAGAAGGCCTACGGCCTATGTTATTCCTTTTCTAGTATGCTTCTGTGAGTGTCCAGTCTTCTCTTGAAAGAGTCAATTGACACCACTGCTTCAGGCAGCATGGATTTGGAACTTTAATTACGTTTGAATAAGAGTTTAATACATGTGAGAATTTTTATGATACAGCGAACACAGGTTGAAGACCTTCAAATTTTTCTTTGCTTAATAATACAGATTGTTAATTGACACTTGTTTCAATACCTTCCCTTTTAGGCGCTCCCCAGGGAATAGTCGGTTTTATTTAGAATGGAGCAGGGGTACGAAATACGGCTGTTAGGGTCTCCTTATAAATCGGTATGTGCTTTTCGTTGCGTCTTTACGTCCATAGCCCATTAAAACAGTTAGCCCCATGAAGACTCCAACGAAGGAAAATTACATGGACCGATACATCCCACTAAGAGCAAATGCACGTTGGAAAACGTCGACATCTTTTGAGGTTAGTTTGTTTGTGGTTTTATTCATTGGTGTGTAGCAAACAAATAGTAATCCAACACGTAAGCTGTTTCAAAGTAGTCGCGGAAATACTGATGGGCTCAGTAATGATGTTGATTCTCCGAATCAAAATGGCTATCAAAGTCACGGTCTTGCGTCTTTTACTGGCGAAAGTAACTGGGGAACATCTGGTGTCAATTCAGCAGTGCAGGAGCCTGCACCACCCACGGAATCGAGAGGCTGCGACCTTCTCTCTGCTCTTGTAGCTAACGAACTTGAGGAAGCTTCATTAGGTGGGGCTTATAGCCCTGTGAATTCAAGATGCAGTTTCGGCAATTCTGGCGTTCTGGCAGCTAGAGAAAACAACAATATGTTTTCCGTAAGTTTGAGTAACAGTATGTTTAGTTGTCTATATTTTCCATAAATCGCATTAACATATTGGCTGGCGACTACATGAGCAAGTTATATTCTCAATTTTTAAATCCAGTAGTAGTTAAAATAGCTGCTTTGATTCCTGAAGTTCGTCATTAAACAGTTGTCTCTATAACAAGTCAATGGTGGTAATGTCAACACTGCGGACTCCTCAAGATGGATAAGTGATTCACGTTAAAGCACCTACCTTTTGAGGTCATGATTTATTATCCACTCAACATTCAATAAAGGCATGTTCTGTAAAGGAAATAGGATCTGTAAGAATTACCATACTTATACCATTATTGTATCCACTAAATAATTGTCTAATTAGTGGTCCAGACCTAGACTTTGGCGAGTAGTCTGCAGGTTGCAGACTTATAGGCGTTCGTGTCGTCTGTTCTGTATCGTGTTAGCTTTCTTTGACATAATTCAAGTCATTCCTTTCTGAATTTTACAAAATTGACGTCTCATTTGTCAAGTGAATTGTGGTGTCGCTCAAGAAAGTAACACTTGGTCTCTTACTTAGTAATTATATATGCTAAATAAGTAACACATGGTTTTTGTAAATAAAAACCATTCAGACCCTGAAAAAATGTAGTGTGTCCGTTCGGTGTCTGTTTGCAAGCCAACTCTTTTACCTTCCAAAGTCCGATTCTTCAGAAATATTAGTTCAACATATCTTGATTCGTTTTCACCATAACGTTTTGCCGTTACCAGCTATGAGTTAAAATAAAATGTAACTTAGTCTGGGACGCTAGGTAATTAGGTTACGGTAATTTGTCAAGTAAAACGTTTTTGTACATAGTTCCACATTATTTTCTAATCTAGCCCCGTGTGTAGTATAAATTTACCTGTCCGATACTTATATAGTCTAAATGACCCTCTCGGTCTATACTAAATAAATACAAAATACCTTGAAAAAGCTTTGCTTGTTATCATGTTTGACGTGTCCTTGAACGCTTTATTTCCCATTACAAACAACAGAGACTTATTGGTTCAACCTGTTCGGTAACCGAATCAGATTCTTGGTCGTCACATGATGCATAATTGGTTATTTAGTTGTTAGATAATTTTAGTAGCTCGCATAGCATCTCTTGTAGTGCTTGAAAAGTAGGTTAAATTGGCATTTAAAATGCTTCGTACATAGTTTGCGTCTGACTAGTCATTACTGTTTTGTTATCCATTTATATTCGTTTTGGTTATTGTTATTCCTCACACACCACTCTTAAACTAGTTCTTCTGATAAGGAAATTTGTGGTTGTAAATTGTATGCTTAGCTTCATCTGGTGCTAGATAGTAATAATTAGTCTAAAAGCCATGCAGTACAATAAGAAAGGACTGTGAACCAGTAAAACGAGGTAATAGATTTGCTCTAAGTTTTGAACCTTATGTCAGGATTATAAAAGCAACGAAAGTCCTCATGATCGTCAGCTAATTTATATTGGCGGCCACCAAGTCTGATAATTGCTTGTCGTTATACTGATTCTGGATACATTTTATTATTTGTTTTCTACTCCATTATCTCAAACAATGGTTTAGTGACTTCATGTAACCTCCCAAAACATTTTTCCCAATTCTATACAAAGTTAATACATTTTTCTTTTTTGTAAAATTTAATTTTCTCGTTTACTGTCATTAAGTGATTATGTACTTATAAGATGTGTTTATTTCCCCTTTTTTTCTATCCTTGGTATTTAACAGTTCAAGCTTAGAAGAGAGAGTCCATGTAAATTGAAAACATCTCCCTATACTATGTCTCCAGTATCTGAAAAAAGTCAACATTTGCTGAAGTTTCCACAAAAAGTAAGCATGTGGAATATATTTTAAAAATGTAATTATGTAATTCGCACCAATGGTCTTTACTTTTGCTATTGTTATAATCAGTCTGTTTTCTGTCCTAGTTACCAACCTTGTAATAGGCTAAATAGTAAACTTGTCAGCAACCGTCTTTTTTTTTAATAACTTCTTACAGCAAGCGCGTAAAATATCTCGGGTACCATATAAAGTTCTGGATGCTCCGGAGTTACAAGATGATTTTTATCTTAATCTTGTTGATTGGTCTTCTCAAAATGTACTGGCGGTTGGGCTGGGAACATGTGTTTACTTGTGGAATGCTTTCACTAGCCAGGTAAGACAATGTCGTTTGTCTACTCTTATTTTAAGCATGTTTCGTTTAACTTTTTAAGTGCAATAAATATCCTAATTTTAAACTTTCCAGGTCACTCGATTGTGTGATGTTTCTGGAGAAACCGATGTTATTTCATCAGTTGCGTGGTCCAAAAAGGTATATCGATAAAGCTAATAATTGTAATCATTTATTACATTACTCATATGTTGTGCCAGTTATAAAATGTTTGTAGTTATTTAGCCGTGTAATTTGACTAGAAAAATTGCTCTTGTAGCCATTCAGTTTGCTGTATAATGGACCTATTTTTACTGGGTAACTTTCCGAAATAACTAATGCATGAAAAAGAGTACTAACCGAAATTTGGTTTATGAAGTAAAACTTCACTGAAAACTTAACTCACATAGTTCCCTTGATTTTTCAGTAATATCCAAATTTGTTAGCGTTATGAATTTCCATTTTGTTTTGCCATATACTTGATTCCCGGGCCGTTTATTAAAATACTGGTTTGAAGTTGTGTTATTGATTGGCGGGTTGTCATCTGTTCGAAGTAATTTCTAGACTAACTCCAATCTTACTCATATTAATTTTTCGTGATTTCTTTTAGTTAACTCAAAGTTATTTGGTTGGGTCACAAAATATAACTTCCTACCACTGCGTTTACTAAAAGGAACTGTTTCACCACATAACCCTCTCACTTGCTTGAATCGCTTCCCTGCATTACTACATGAGCTACAGCTTTGTTACTGTAAAACTGGGTGACAAATATAATGACCAAATTTATTTAAATTACTAACTACGGGGATTTTCTATTTTTTCCATTAATGAGACAATGCATTCGACCTAATAGAAAGGAATATGCGTTAATTAGCATATGTTCACCGTTCCGTACACTTATAGTTAAAGTGTTATTGTTAATATGTCCTGCAAATAAGAAAATAGTTGGACAGGCACCTACTTACATATATAGTCTTACTATGTAAATGTATATACACAGCAGATAATACATTCGAAACAATATAATTATATTAAGGCTGTATAATGAATTCATTTCTCATAAATATTTGTTCAAATAGATTAATGTTAATTCGCTTTAAGTACTACTTTCATCTTGTTTTGTAGGGTAGTCATTTAGCGATCGGCACTTACCGTGGTCGTGTTCAAATATGGGATGTGACTAAAAGTTCCTGCATACGCTCATTAAACGGACATATCGCTCGTGTCGGTGCTTTGGCGTGGAATGCTGATCTTTTGGCATCTGGCAGCCGGGACCGATATATTCTGTTACGTGATACACGTGCTTCAGCTAATTCTGGTGGTGGACCCACTGGTCATCTACCTACCACAAATCCCTCTAATACTTCTGTATTAACTGCTGAACTTGCTGACAGAGAAGAGATTATGACTGATTTCGATTCCATTAGTTCACCGAGTCACATTGATCAAGTAGAAAGTGATCCAAACTATCCGCGGGCTTCAACACCTATGGTATCGATCAACAGTGACCTTCCGGAAGTTGATCCTGTAAGTACTCCAGCTCAAATGGATATAGACATGCTCGGGTTCCGAGATACGGATCACGCTTCATCATGGTCTGCCGCAAGGACGTCAGCAAATTCCACTGTCACCCAGACTACTGCTTTACAGTCGATCGAAAATGGAGCAGATCGTCTTGTTCCTGGAGCAGTACGTGTGCTAAAGGATCATAGACAAGAGGTTTGTGTGATATTTTTCTTTCAAGTAAAATTTCTGATTGCTTATTTATATTTTGAAATTTAATTGAGATCTTATCACCATCATTTTCTGCGTTACAAACCCACGTCGTCATACACCAACATCAAAATTTACTATCTTATTAGTAAGTTTCGTGTCGTATCATGAAGTGACTACGAGTCTTAATTTATTCACATCATAATCTAAAAACATTTCAAGTTTTATCTGGCCATTCATTGTTGGCATATTCTATTTTTCAAAATAAATTCTTTAGCATTGATATATATTGTTGGAATTCATAGGTATGTGGGTTAAAATGGTCTCCTGACAGTCAGTATTTAGCATCAGGAGGTAATGACAATCGTCTGCTTGTTTGGAGTCAACATGCACCATCTACTGGTGGCCCTATCTTAACGTACGAAGAGCATGTGGCCGCTGTCAAAGCAATTGCATGGTCGCCTCATCAACATGGATTACTCGCAAGTGGCGGTGGTACAGCTGATCGTTGTATTCGATTTTGGAATACATTAACTGGTCAGGCTTTACGTAGCGTGGATACTGGAAGTCAGGTAAGTGATTCATGCTGACGGTGTATTATTTAATAATCTTAGTTTATAAAAAAATGATTATTTTGATAATCAGAAAGTAAATTGGAAATTAGCTTATTAATATTAAAGAATAGATTGTTATTTCATTATTTAACATTCATGTAGGTGTTTTTTCAATGCAAATATCATGAATGTTGTATTTCTGTGTAAGCTACAAAAAGACCTTATTATAGTTACTATTTAGTAGGTCAATTTACGCGTTTTTGGTTTTGATTGTACATACAAGTATTGGATGGTTTTCACATTTTTGAGAAATGTTTTAGGGTTTGTCAAATATAGGTGACTGTTTCAACTATTATTTATACACGTATAACTTAAATGTAAATACATTTCAAGTATGTTGGTAGTTGAATTCGTGTTTATTATTTTGTAAGAGTTAAGCAAATTGTGCAAACATATCATTTCACTTTTAGAATGTGTATACAGATCGATACATTTTAGTTATTTTTCCTAGTCGACCGGCTAGTTTGGATTGTAATGTGGCGTTTTATTTAACGAAATTGACTATGTAGAATATATTATTTATACTATGATTTGGTTAGAAGTTCGTCGGTCGTTGCTCCACTGAATACTATATGTTGGCAACTGGCTATTGCCACTAGCAGAAAGCTGAATATAGAGGCCTAAAATTGAGCTACACTAAAATCTACATTGAATAAAAAATTAAAAGGATCTTACATGCCCTATGTCGTATTACTGAAATGTCTTTAGGAATTTCTAGTGGAAAGTAGTTTAAAACTTCACTATTTATCCTAACACTTCGAGAAACATGTTTGAAAAGCTACTATCTGGATTGCATAAACGGCTTATTTTTGTGGGACTTTCACTTGTAAAGATCTCAAATAAAAAGAACAATTATCTTTTCTTAACGCTTTAAATAAATTGTACTGTGTAAATTTATGTGAGTAAAAATTGTTGCTTCTTGACCGTGTACTCAACAAAGACTAGGTGTCTATATTGTTGACTGGTTTACATTTTGGCTAGGTTTGTAATATTGCCTGGTCCATACATAGTAACGAATTGGTCAGTACACATGGTTACTCACAGAATCAAATTCTTGTTTGGAGATATCCTGGTCTAACACAGTTAGTCAAGTTGGTTGGGCATTCATATCGTGTGCTGTACCTAGCAATCAGTCCAGATGGTGAGAACATAGTAACTGGTGCAGGAGATGAAACACTTCGCTTCTGGAATATATTTACTAAAGCCAAAACTCCAAAAGTTAGTATACTGAGTGTTGTTTGTGTCGTTTTTATTTCGACCTTGTATGATTGGTTGGTCTGATCATCTAGTTCTGATCTTTTCAGACATTTGGTTATGAAATGTTTTTATCTGTGGTTAACCAATATAATTCCAAATAGTTACGATGATTTCCCCACAGATCACTTACAGAACATGTATATATTACTCATCTCTCTGGGGTGAATTTTTTTCTAGTATCCTAATCACTAATTTTCCTAGCTAAATTAGTTTTTTTGTTGCCTACTGTCACTATCAAACGGAACAACGTAAATTCACACACAAAAGCCGTCGAATTAATCTTTTTAAATATCATATAAGTTTGTCAGTAGGCTCCAACTCAGTGGGGTTGAAAAGACTAAGTAATCTAAAGCGAGGAAGGGCAGCTGGGCTTAACGGACTAATCCCTGAGGTTTTTAACAATAAAGGATATTCGTAGGTTACCAATATTCGTTTATAGGTGTCTTTGAAGCATTGCTTACGTATTTTGGGATCAGTAAGTAATCAAAGCCTGGGTTAGGGATAAATTTCTATATGAGGATGAGGTGTTTGGAACATGTTTTGCGTATGTCCAACCACTGTCTAGCTCGACGGGTGATGTTTCCCGGTTCAGGAGTAAGTTGTAAGAAAGCTAAGGGCGGCCAAACCGAAACATGGCATCAGTTCATGGAGTCACTGACAGTTGGACTTGACCATGTTCATAAATGTATGCTGCCTGGTTAGGGTCCGTGTGATTATCGTAATTAATAGTTAGGGACTTTCAATGACATTCTTCAAAATCATTTGCAGTGGTGCAGATGCATCCGTTCTTTGTTTTCCCCAAATCCTGCTATTCTAAATTCCTCATAACTTTTTTGTTTTCATTTCACTAATTTATATTTTCTTGAGTCGTATCTTCGATGTTTACTTTTTACTATTACCACTGATATTGTTACTATCTCTACTATTCTGGGATTTGATCTGGGGATCTAATCACTGTGTTAATGGGGTTTAGGAACTTGAACCCGATATACATACGTATTAGTTTCTACGTTATGATTAACTGTGTAATTTGGTGCATGTCTTTAAGAAATTCTTCTATGAATTAGTAACCTGCTTAATAGTTATATTTCGTTGTAAGTTACCTCTTAATTTCGTTATAATACTCATGTCTGTACCAATTATTGTAAATATGAAGCGTTTCTGTTGACTTAATATACAGATTTTTAGCCTTATATTTGGGGATACTGATCTATAATTATTATATAACATTAGATGATTGACTGGAAACAGCAGATAAAAAAGTACTTACAGACAACCAAATATACTCTGTCGTTAAATAGATGTATTTTACATAATCTGGTTTCTCTAAACATGAGTAGCTGAAAGCAAACTTAGTACAGTGGTATTTATTTTATGTTAAACAGAGTTATGATGTTCATGAAATCACATCAGTTAATATGTCTATATTTCAGTGTGGATGTAACGAGTGTTAATTTTTATCGTAGATGAATTTTTATGTTATGCACAAATATGTTGCATATATATATTCAGTACGAGTAACTTTTGTGCTACCGTATTTTTCACAACTTCAAACTATCTCACATTAAATCCATTGATTTTTATTAGATGCAACCATCTTCACTGAACTTATTCAATGGGATTAGATGATCTATCTAAAATAGAAGTCTTTCAAAACTTGTGGATATTTCTCCGATGTGTTTTATTCTACTTAGTAAATATATGTATCATCAACAATGTGCGCACATTAATTATATGCTATCCTTACATATTACTCGACTATATTATTCATTTCTGTAAATATATGATTACTTATTGATAGAAATTTCAAATATGTTAACAACTATATATTACATCATTAACAATTACATTCTGGTCGTATGTATCAACGCCATAACTCTTATTTTCTACAGGTCTTGAACTTCTAACTTTTACTTCAGTCAGTTCAATTGTATGCAAAATTATATGGTTGCTTCTTACTTTTGTCTTTACTTATTACATATTGAACGAAACAAAATAGTAATCATTATTAATTTATATTTTCCCCACAATTGCTTGTCTTTTGTGAAATTGTACTTATAATATATTTCTTAGTTTTGTAATTCCTTTAAATAACACATTGTGTAAGCCACTGTGTATCTGTTCATCCTAGTCATTTGTGACAGCTTTTTCTTTTCTTTTAATCTATTTGTATTTTTCTTTTGGCTGTCTGTGTCGTATTTAGTTCAACTTCTTTGACATTGTGATAGTCTTCCTCATAATAATAACAATAATATATATATGTACATATATATAATGTGCAGCGAAAATAAAACATCGTGTTAGCTAATATTGTTTTCTTGGTATACTACTCAATGTAGTTTAGTCACATATTTATTTCATACAAAAACGCGGATGCTCCTATCAATTGATACTTGCAGTGAAATATTGACGAATTAATGTGTAAATTACTTGTTTTGCAAATTAGTGTCTAGAATATTAAATTATCTGAAAATCTGGTCCAGGAATTTATCATTCTTTGATTATAAATAACTATCTTATCATAATGGATGGTAATGATGAAAAGAATGCGATTCTGGACGTTGATTGTGTTATTAGTTATTATCACTAAGATTAAGAAATCCATGCAATGATTCTAAGAGAAGCTTGTCAATAAAATACGTTTATTCAGTCAAATTTTTCTTCCTTTGCAGAATTTTGTTCCACTCAGTTTCCGTAAGGAATATTTTGACTTGCCTTACCTTTATAAATTCTACTGGGACTGCAAACTCATCATGTACAGTTAGGTGTATACTAGTATAGATGTATCATGAAGTGTTATTGTAGTTTTTAGGAAAACGAGTGTACGAAAAGATATGTTTAAATTGGTCAAGTATAGTTTCCAGTTTTTTCAGATTAAATAGTATTATCTATTTTCACTTGGGGAATTTTCAAGGCATTGACGGTAATTTGCTCTATGTGATTTTTATTATAATACGTATATGTTGTACTGGTTATGGTATCTTTATTTAAATAGTGAAAAGTTTCACTAAACTGGTTTTATCACGATTACATTCCGAATAGGTTTTCAACGACTGTAAACCTGAAAGTGATCCTCAGTCAAGAGTATTATCAAGTAACTGTAGACATTTGTTATAATTATAGTGTATACTTTATTGCTTTTAACTTAATTTGGTCGAATATAAAAGTTAAATAAGTTGTAACAATCATAACTCTACACCATAGTGGATAACGCTTTGAGTATTGAATGAGGTCTGGTATTTCATACTTTAAAAAAGTATTTGTTGCAATTTTAGGATCAGTTAATCTATATTAAGGATACTGTAAATTACCAGTGCGTAAAGAACGCAGCGTTTGCTTCATTCTATAATAGTAATGGCACTGAGATGTAGTTTTCTCACTGGTGTAACTTATATCCAGTCAGTCAGTAACAACGTAGAACTTAGTACGTACGTACATCAGTTCGAATTGCCATACCACATTAGCACAGAGATGCAGTGGTCGATTCAAATCCCGTAGTGGTAGAGGTAGCAAGAGTATAAGCAGTAATCGGGAAGATTAGGGTTTGGAGATCTTATTTAACGAGTATAATCCAGTGAAATAAATTTGGAAAGACGAAAAAAGGGACATGAAGAATTCAGAAGATTAGAATTTGGGAGAACACAAAGAGTGGATGCACCTACGCCATTGCAAACGATTTTGAGCCATGTTATTCAGGGTCTCTAACTATCGGTTGCTATCATCCTATGAATATTTAATCTAGTTTATTTCATTCTGAATCAGATCACATATGAAGGCGGTTGTGAATTTTTACTTAATTATTATAATACAGAAAGAACATTACATTGTAGGTCAGATTTTGTTTTCCAATAAAGTTACAAATAAAATAATCTTAACAACCGTGATATGTAAAGAAATTATAAACGAATCCTTTTTTCACACTCATTTGTAGTGCTGCATCGTTCCATTTGTAATCTGATTCCACAATCTATTTAATCTAATAACGGGTATATTTTTATTCATATGGTTGATAAATTTCTAACTAGATTCATGGTAAAATACGACTGGCTTGGTATGACCATTATCGACTATTTAATCTCATGTTCATTGTGGTTGATCTTCAGGGTTACTTCATTTTATAGCTTTGACAAATCCACCCTTGGTGGTCAGTTAATCGATTTGACAGGAAATAATTAATTTTGAGCTAGTTTTTACTAAGTTGTGAAACTAGTCTGACAATTAGTTCACTGATTACATTGATAATGAAATTATGATGATAGTGATACAAGTTAACTGAAATTGAATTACTTAGACCATCATATTCGTACATTACCAGTATTTGATGATGATTCTCTTCGAAGTATTGCTTGTGTGTCAGGAGCATCAAGTGAACAGTATCGAGGTTAGACGCGGAATACCAGTTTATATTTATTTGAGCACAAATATTGGTACAAAGGGGCACCGAATACATATGCGCCATACAAGTCACTTGATTTGTGTGTAGGCTGGGATACTGCTCGGGTGCCCAGACTGAAACAGGTGGTTTTCTTAAGAAGCCACACCTGGAGCCTTCGACATAAAGGTCTGATCCACAAGGCAGTGGAACAACGTTAGGAGATACGCAGTTCCTTGGTAGCCGGTGACCAACATTAGGTTCATACGCCATTTGTTTCTTCAAAATACTGGTGCTCATGTACACCATCGGTTTGGAATCAGGGTTTTCCAACTTCCATAGGTGGATCCTTCATGTCCACCAACCCGGCTAAAGCTCAGGACACTCGCTTTTTGTCCTCAATTTCGTGAACAACACCCCCGCATAGAGAAGGCAGCGAGTAGGAATTCCCTGGTAGTGTCTGTATACGCGTGGCCATGTGAGAGCATTTGGAGAGGGAGAGCTAGCTCTTACCACCCTCGGCTGTACCAGGGCATTTAGGGGCTGACATGGTTAGAATATTTGTCACGTGTGTCCTATCACTTACTTCGACTTCACTGTTTGTAAGAGTGGGTTGGAAGGCCAGGAGCAGCTGCTAAACAAAAATGTCGCATATTGTCATTGAAGGTTGGACTAAGTCATCTAGTTAAGTATAGACTACCTGGATGCGATTCGTATGAATGGTTGAATTGCTGTCAGAAATGCAGATGCATTCACTACTTGTATTTCCTTTTTTGAGTTTTCAAATTATGTTACACTTGACTATTTCATAAATTCATCGCTCTTGAATAATGCTGTCTATGCGTAATGTTTTCTCCTACCACTGATACTTCTACTACTTTTGAACTAATCTTGATAATTCCCTATACTGACGTGGTGTGAGGACTTAAACTGATGCACATATGTGGCTGGTTCTATATGGTTTTAAATTAATATGAATTTTAATTTAACTCCTATTTCAATATTTCTTCATTTGGTATGCAACACTTGGTAAAATCATCTGAAATAAGCAATCGATCGTTAAATTATCAAATGAAATACCAGTTTTTATAACAATGTCATAATGAACGTATTTATGATTATATTTGTATTATGTCTGAAGATCTAATTTTGCTGATCCTTTTGTGAATTTCGGTTATAATATTTCTGATATTGTCTCGAATCCTACTTGAATTAAGATTGATAGGTACAACTTACTGATAAGTTCCAACAAAATCGGAACATATACTCAATTTTTTCTGTCAAACTTTTCATCATCTAATATCAGAATTAAATATATTCCAGCTATTACTTAATGTTAATGCTTACATATAAACGATGGAAGATATCATGTTAAATTAATAACAGCTCAAGCATGGTGACTTGATAATTGAATTACTTCAGAATTTCATTCAGGAATTATTCAGTGAAACACTTGAATATTTTAATAAATTCATGTTCTTACCACATTCTCAAACAATTATTATGTCAATTAAATGGACGGTGACGATCAGTTGAAAATATCAACTTGTTCCAAGTTGATGCGTACAAACATATACATATTGTCATCATCGTATAGATTTTAATAAGTGGTTTGACATAGTGTAATATTATTTCACTGTTACGTCATGATTGTACATGTATGAATTTAAGGTGATAACCATCATCTAAGTATTTGAACGTCAGTCTGTTATTTATGTTTTTGTTATACGTAATGAATTCATGGACTGAAAATAAAGTGATACTAAGGAAGAATGTAGGTTCAGAAAAGTAAATTAACCAAGTGTTAAAAATATAGAACAGTAATAGATAATATCTATAGGTCAGAATGAGGATATTAGATTTCATATTTTCTAGACAGGATGGTTTAATTAAGCTTTCATTGTTCCTCTAAAAACCATCATCAAAGAAGTGGGTAATTATAATTTCTTCACGACTGGCTTACAACTTGTTTTGTTGACCTAGAATTTGGTTGGTTATTGTTTGGTTTTGGCTGTTTTCTTTCTTAATATGGACTCCGAGATTACAACTGCCAGTTCTTTTTTTATTGATTGATAGACTTCGTCGATTTAAAGTGGTGGTTGGAGGTAGTTGATAGGAAGACCTAGACTTCGTTTTCATGCTCGAGCATTAATCACTACTCAGGGATCATCAATAGTAAATTTGGTTGATTTCAATGTCTCTATTGATTTATGCTTGATTAAAGTTGTAACAGCTTCTATTTTATTACTCGATCTATTCCAGCTTTTGGACAACTGAACAGTTCCGACTTTCCTACGAATTTTGTCGCTTACACATATACGCGTTGTTATTAGTGGGATTTAATGAAATAACATATAAGCTGTAAGTAGAATCTATATTTCGTGTAAACCACTAATGATTCGATCACATTGGAGTCAGACAGTGGGTATTTAGAAAAGTTCCGGGTTTCGAAAGATTCTCCGGTTCTCTTGGTGTTCTTTTAATACAATATCTTGACATTTCCCAAGTCAAAATTATGTCCATAAGCATTAATGTAGGGATATATCTTGTCATTTAACAGCGAACTGGATTTTACATAAACATGAACGAAGAGTGTGGCCTTGCTTGTCGTGCATGTTTGTCACAGTCGTTACTTCACAACCGAACTATTTAATTCAGAGACCACAGCATCAACAGTAAATATATCTACACCAATATGGTCGATCGTGAGGAATGTTAACTAAGGTCTCCAATTACTGCGTCTGATATTCACAATTAAAAGGTTTGCAACCCTCCATCAAATAACTAGCTAACATTCTAAGACTTCATAATCTGGAACTATGGCGTGGCATTTTGACCGTTACTTTCTTATATTAAATGAACCCATTTCAACAAGCATCTCACTTCAAATTAAAAAGTGGATCGGAATGTGCAATATGGCCAAGCTACTTTAGTA